GGATGGTTTCCTGTGATAACCAAACAAAGCCTGTTTCTTTGTGTGCTATCACTTAAGTACAAGTGATATTATAGAATGATTCCAAACCCGTTGAAAGAGTGGCTTTGCCAATGATCTGAAATGATGGGACTGTAGCTGAGATTGTTAGGAAGAATGCTGGCATGGACTGGGGCAGCTCCTTGGCAGCTGGCCACTCACAGCTCCATCGAAGCCTGGGTTGCTTCCCACAGCGTACATGACACCTTGTCAACTCTCTGGCCTGAGTGTGGTTGCCTGTGAACCTGGGGGATGAAATTAAACACAGAAGGAGAATCGTACCAAGGTTTCAGGCAGCTGGTCATATTATCTACATTATCTTTTCTGTAAGTCACCCCCTGTGTCCAAACCATAACCATACATACTGATGATAGTATCTTTTTTTAACATTAATAAGTATGTACAAGCACTTAGCTTTTCTTATAGTCATTTTGTTGAAATCAGTAGCCAAACAGAAGCTATTGTGTGTCTTTAACAAGTAAAGAAGCTGAGGTCTAGCGTGAGTATGATTTTCTTTGAGTGCACATAGTTAAATTAATGCTGAGCCAATACGAGGCCCACTGGCTCATTATCCACTGACCTGTAGGTCAGCACTGATAAGATTTTCAAAGCAGCTTGCCACAGAATAATATTGTTAGGTTATTCTCAACTCTAAACAGGTGGCACACACCTTTAATCCCAGCACTTGGGAAGCAGAGGCAGGCACATCTTTGTGAGTTTGAGGCCAGCTTGGTGTACATAGTGAGTTCCAGGACAGCTGGGGCTACAAGGAGACCCTGTCTCAAAAAGACAAAAAAAGGGAGGGGGGGAATGAGTGTATTTCTTTCTAGAACTATTTTAAAAAAATAATAAAAGTCCGTTGTATTAACCGCATTTGAGTACTCAGTGTCTATATGCAGCTAGTGCCTACTGTACTGAATTGTGCATATAGGGACTTCCGTGACAGCATAGAGCTGGATAGCAGATTGATATAGATTATTCCAAGGAGTATGAACAGTAAGAGCACAAAGCAAACAAAGTTAATAATAATATAGCTATTGATAAACACCAGGAAGATTTTAGACAAAAAAAAAACTTTAGAAAAAAATTTTCCAAAACAATTTTTTGTGTAGTTTTTTGTGTGTTTGAATGAGTATGTGTATGTGTGTATGTTTAATATATACTGAAGGTAGCATCTTTCTTTCATAATGTTAATAGAAGTGTTTATTCACACTGAATTTCTCATAACCATTTTGTGTGTCTGCTGTTCTCATTTTGTATCTATAAAGGAAGCGTACCACAGAAAGCCATCCAAGGACAAGAGAGAAAGTTAAGATGCTCTTCATGTTTCTGTTTCTTTAAAAAGAAACTGGCCAATTACCAGACCTTATAAAAACTTGCCCAGAAATTAATAATAATATGTATTGAATCACTGATTTTTAATAATATTCTGCTTTTTCAGAGGACCCTCAAAAGATTTTTTATATCCTCTATTGATCTAGTTTCTTTTTATTAGAATATAGAGTAGGGAAGTAGGTCAGTACAGTGCTAAAAGCAAAAAGTATGCGCTGTCATCATTTCCCCCAACATCATTAGATTCATCTTGGCTCGAAAACTCATCCCGGCAGTGTCCCCTGGCTTCATGTTCTCTGACTTGTGGTCCCATTCCATTTGGCACCTGTCCTAGAGGAGCCCTTTGCCAAAAGCCAAAGCAGAATTGGCACTGAAGATCTTGTTGCAGTTGCAGGCAAGGTGCCCACAGATGTATGCCTGTGCCCACGACCTGCAAGTGGTCACAGTGTCTTTGGAAGCATTACCCCAGGGCTTCTCCAGATACGCCTAGTTCATGGAACAGGAAAGGATGACAATTATCTTTTAAGTCTTACTGCATCCATATTTTACTCACCTTTTCTTAGGGATGGAAAAGGCATATTACCTCTGTGACTCTCAGTTGCTTCATCTCCAAATTGAACATGATTTCAACTCGAGCTATTGTGATATTGTATGTCAAGTACTTGGCAAAGGTTTCTGGCAGAGGGTAGTCCTCTATAAATATTACTTGGATTTGAAAATAAATTTCTTCACTATAAAAGGCACTATACTGGATTTCAAGAAAGGCGGGGAGCAAAGGAAAGCAGGCTAATCTTAGTTTTGTAAGCCAATCAGGTAGTTTTAGACAAAGATCTTGCTGAAGGTTTTGCTGATATTTGGAGTATATGTTTCTATAGTTCTCTGTAAAGAGCACATTAGCTATCTGTGGCCTCTGGCAAGAGCCCCCAAATGTTCAACTTAAAACACATAGTCTCTGGCTTATTCAGAAGTATTCTACACCTATAAGCCCCATGAAGACAAAAGAAGTCACTGAGTCTCCATGAAAAAGGAGCAGAGTCCAAAGGAAGAGTTTGAGTGGATTAAAACAAAATTAGCCAAACTGTTAGATATGACAGGATTCAGTAACAGGAGAATCAGTGGATTCCCACCATTAATGAATGCTTGAGAGTTCCGGAACTCTTAACTTTAGGTATTAGACAAATATGTTGTGGCCTAACCCTTCTACTATATTAATCATAGTCGAACTTCTGCTTTCTGTCAGCTTAGACCTGGGGCAGTACCTTCCTCTTTGCATTCTAACTGGTTGTCAACAGCAATAACCACGAGTCCTTCCTGTCCCAGAAATAAGTCTTACCACAGTCTCAGTTTTCAGTGTGATGTGAACACAGCATTCTGTACTACAGAAGGCTGGGCCACCTCCACACGCTGCAGTCACAGCTCCATCAGGTTCAACTCTTTATTGAATTCTCAGAGTGATTGGAAATAAGTAGAGCTGCGTGAGAACAAGATACACGATCTAGCTCTAATATAAACAAGTGTTACATTATGCCTAAATTGTTGAAAGGAGATTTTGTACTCAATATTTTATTCAGTAAAACATTTTTTGTAACAATAAGGTTGATTAGGGAACACTCTGAAAAATTCTTCAAGTTAGACAGTCTGATTGTTTACCTCAAAGATAAAATAAATAAATAGGCTGGTAAAATAGGGGGATAAGAAGTAGTAGAAATCGAAGCAAAGCCTAGTGAAGAGTATTTGACACCATTTTCCTCTGTGGATTAAATCTGACTCAGGATTTCTCCTTTCCATAGACTTTTGACTTTTTAGTTCTCTCTCTCTCTCTGTTTCTCTCTCTCTCTGTTTCTCTCTCTCTGTCTCTCTGTCTCTGTCTCTGTCTCTGTCTCTCTCTCTCTCTCTCTCTCTCTCTGTGTGTGTGTGTGTGTGTATGTGTGTGTGTGTGTGTGTATGATAAGGTTCTCACTCTTTATCTTAGGCATCTTCCTGTCTCAGTCCCGAATTTGACCTCATGCTGAAAATTGCAGACATGATCTTTTTTCTAGAGGCCTGGGGACTAGCTGGTCCAGACCCACAGCAGTTCTCAAGTGTTCTCCTTGTTTGTTTGCTTCTTATAACAAAATAAGGAACTCTGCTTAGGATCTTTTCTTCCAAGAACCTTTTTTAGCATTTCCTTAAGGCTACAGTGAAATCACGCCTGCCATTTGCAGTTTAGTACATCCTCCTCCTGGTCTGTTTCTGGACTGGGGTGGTCATCTGCAGGACTGTACCTACTAGGCTGCTGTCCCTGCTAGGATGCTGGCCTTTTGCTTGTTCCAGTGCTTTGCATCTTCATCGTCTTGAGTAACTGAACCAAGAACATCTCACTGCGTTCGGAAGAATTTAGTCTTCCTGAGAGAGAACACCTGAGGTATAAGGTGGGGCTTGGGGGAAGTGCACAGCAAAGTAAGAAGCATTTGTTTTCTGTTTTGTCGTTTCTAGTTCAAAAGGATATCCACATTAAAAAGAACTGTCTTTCTTCATATTACATGATGATAACCAGAGTTGCAGAGTTGCAGGCTTGAAGTAAATGTTCTCCCAAATGTAGACTGGGGAAGTGATAGAAAGACAAGTAAGAGCTTATGGTTTAGTTCTTTGCATCTGTCCAAAATATTTACTGACGCTTGAAGAAAGGGCAGACTTTTTTCTCTCCCAAATGTGTGATTGTTTAGAACTTAAGTGCAACATCTGGAAGTCAGATATACAGAGAGCAATTTATGGAGTGTGAAAGATTTGAAATATTCAGCGTCCTTTAGTGGGAACTCAACTTTCTGAGCTGTATTTTTTTTTCTTTTTTCAGCACAAAGCAAGCGATTCTGAGATCACTTTTGCCTTTCTGAAATAAGCCCTTTGTGCTTGGGTCCCATAAACAATGTGCTTTTTAAAGGGGAGCCCCCTCCCAGCCCTGGCCCTTTTCTCCATTGCAAGCAGCCAATCAGCTGCACCGTGCTGCATAGCTGGAGCGCTTTCCATTCTGAGCAGCAACAACGTACTAATTTGATGCACACATGGATGCCTCGCGCACTCTGCAAATTCATCACCAGAATCTTGCATTAGTCATCTGATGGACTGCCAAGTCTTTCATTTTCTTTCCATGTGACTTTATTATTACCACCTCTCTCCTCTCTTCCAAAACCTCCAAAAAAGGGCGGGGAACTGGGGAGAGGGAGAGAAATCCGGCAGAATCCAGCCCAGCCTTCCTTTCCCAGCAATAGCCGGTGCAGAGCTGATAACACTGCCGATGCTGTGTGCTGATGGCAGCCTTGCCAGTTGAGACCTGCACTTAACTTGCAGCTGCCTCCAAAGCCCGGGTTCTGAGATGTCCAGACCCTGGGTGACAGGCGGTGGGGAACTGCCCTGTGCTGGGGAGTGGAAGCTGAACGGCAGCAGCATGCAGTGAAAGCTGGCGCTGCAGCCGAGAAGCAACCTCATGGTGCCTCTTGCTTTGTTTTAGTTCATCAAATTTCTACGACTCATTAGGCACTTTCCCCCGTGCTCCTCTTCCTCCTTCCGCCTCCTCACCCCCACCCCCACTATTTTTTTCTTCCTGTCCCTCACCCTGCAGCCCTAACTCTGGCTCCTGGTTCCGTTTTTGACAGTAACGGCACAGCCAACAAGATGAACGGAGCTTTGGATCATTCAGACCAACCAGACCCAGATGCCATTAAGATGTTTGTCGGACAGATCCCCCGGTCGTGGTCGGAAAAGGAGCTGAAGGAACTTTTTGAGCCTTATGGAGCTGTCTACCAGATCAACGTCCTCCGGGACCGGAGTCAGAACCCTCCCCAGAGCAAAGGTACAGACAGCATGCGGCGCATGGGGCGCGGGTCGCCCAGGTGTCGGGGTGGGCTCAGCGGTTGGGCGGGCTAACCAAAGCTCCCAGAGCCCTCAGCCTGCAGGAGGGGGGTGGCAGAGGAAGGGCGGGCCGCGGGAGCAGCTGCTGCTGGCAGCCCTTGTGCTCTGGCAGCTCCTCCCAGAGCTCCCGCCCGCCCGAAGGGGACAGGTGGGACTGGAGGGGAGGGCAGGATCGCTGCCCAGCCTGTGTCCCGGGGCCTGATTGCTCCTGTGAGGTCACTTTCCAAGCAGTGTGGGCTCTGGGTGGGGTGACTGCCTGCTCCTCTAAGGAATAGCATCTCCGCCTGGTGTTTCAGGAGCTAACTCTTTCTGTGCTTCCTCCCTGTGATTTCCCATGTAATTAGAATTGTGTCTCACTTTTCCATAGCCTGTGCAGACCTTGAAATGCCTTGTAAACTGCTAGTGTGATGCCACTGGTGTGAGAGAGAAAGGACCCACTTTGAAGAGGGACATCCATTCTTGGGGGCCAGTGGGGATCATTAAGCAAAGTGTGCATGCTGGAGCCAGGGGAAGCGCCCTAGTGGCTTGAGATAGTTAACACACCTTCAGAAATGCTAAGGGTTTCCGCCCTTATCAGTGGTAAGATTAAAGAGCGCGGTCTGGTGCTTATGACTGCCTCCATTTTAAGATAATGGTGATAGGGTGGAGGTTGCAGTTATTAAAATAGAGGCCAGGAATCCTTGTACCGTGTTGGCACTTCTGTTTTTAGTCCTACTTTATGAGCTCAGTACAGACTGCATTTAAAATGCCTCCTGCTGCTGACCACTTGGTCTCGGTCGCTATTCCGACCTTCCCCTTTCAGTAATTTTGTTCTTTTTTTCTGTGGCTGCTCTCTCGGTCTCTCCTCTCCGGGCCTCTCTCTGTGGATATCACAGTTTCCTTTTAGCTGCCTTACTATTTCTGCCTAGCCTGTCCCTTTATTTTCATGCACATCTCATGAAGGGAAGCTCATTGTGTGCTTTTGTGTGCTCTTTAGTTGGGCACATGAGTATTGGCTCCTGCTTCTCTCTCACCCTTTTCCTTATATTAGCAAATGGAAAGGTGAGAGTAAGAAAATTTCAAGACTCGTGTTCTATAATTCTGAGAAATGCCGGCCATCTCTTGTCCCCTATTGTGCCAAGGTCTGGATAGGGCTTTGGGGAACTTTTTTCAGTAATTTAGAAGCCCATAGCCAATATTTACTTTATAAAGGTTGACAAACTTGCCTTCATATTTTGTTTATGAATCGATTTTTGTCTTTAAACATATCATGTAACTCTAGAGATTTTTTAAAAAGACTATAGAATTTTGTTTCTACAAATTTGATCACCTATAGTTAGAAAAGGAGAAAATCTGATACCTAAAATCAGGAATTTAAAGCTCAAAAATTAGGACTATATTGAAGACCTTTAGTGTGTATATTCTGAAGGTATTTATGTTTCCCATACAAAGAAATTTATTGGTTTTAATACTTTCATGGTGTCCTACTTAGGAGAGACAGCATAATGATAGGTCTGAGCTAGGGCGTCATCAAATAAGGATCCTTTCCATCACCTAGAATAGAACCCAAAGAAGCTAGGCCTGAACAGCCACAGTCTGTCCTCACCTAGGAAAGTGTGACACTGAATTCGGGTTTATCAGCATTTTTCAAAATGATCTCTGGCCAAAAAATAAATTAGAATAAAATCACAGCACAAGTGTTGTTATGATACCTGGTTACTTGCATTTTAGCTTTTGAATACATGTATCTTACCTGGACCCAGAAGGTCTTCTTTCTAGTCAAGTCAGTTCTTGTACAAGAGCAATCAGTACCTTATCTAGACTGCATCTGAGACTTTGTATTTTGTTAACTTCTATTCAGTAGATCTTCTAAGTAACTTCATGAACGTAGTTTACAGGAACTCAAGGTCTTGGAGAGGAAGAGAAGGCAAGACAATAAAGGGACTTTGGGGTGGCTCGTATGTCATGTATCAAGCCTTCTGTTAGAAGCTTTAGGTGTGTTTTCATTTAGCTTTGACCAAAATATTAAGGATAGATGGTTGGAGTCACATTTTACCAGTGAGGATACTGAGGCCCAGAAAAGTTAAGAAAGGTAGGCCAGGTCACCCAGCTCATAAGTGCCAGAATGGTTATCTGAATATACAGTTCATAGTCTTCAGAGCCTTCACCATTCTGTCTCTCACTGAGATGAGACCAAAGCCAGCCCTGATCTGCTCCATTTCGTGACTTGAGTTGGAGGTCTTCTCCTTTAGCTGAGAGTTCCCCAAGTGAGAGGAAGAGATGTCTGCCTTTAAGAGCACTGGTAGTTTCATTTCTGCCTTTGTGTTTAGTTTTTACACTCATGGGTTTGGATTGTACATTACTCCTGCTCATAGTATCATGGAGTAGGAGTTACAGAAGAACCCGTTCAAATCTTACCTTTGGAAATACAGGTCAATTCCCATTACTGTGAGCTCCAAGTCTCACATCAAATATTCCTTGAAATATGTGAACTGTCAGCCAAAGGGTGAAAGGGTGTTTCTTATACAAACATCTCTGTTGTAAGGCTATTTGTTATGATGGGATTTGGGTTGCTTGCCCTCAGAGGATTATAGCCCTTAGCTGCTTATACAGAGAAAAAAAGCTTCCATTTTCTTTACACTGATAGCCTTTGTGTGCCATATATAATTTTACCTGTTCAAATATAAAATAGGACCCTAAATTTACATTGATTTTGACCCTGTCAGCAGAGTACAATTACCATGTTTTCACAGCACTGATGTCATAGCCTTAGAAACTAAAATTACTGGAGTGTCTGTCTAAATGTGGTTTAAATTATCTAAGTAAGACTTTTGGAGTAGCCTTGATCCATTGCCTCATTGGCTTTGATGGTTTCAAGGAGAGAGACACAGTTATGCTATTACTTAATGCAGGTGAATTAAATCTTTCTCTTTATATTTTATGTTCTGTTTAATCATGAGGCTTTGCCCTATTTTCATTCTTTAAGAGAAGTCTAAGCTGTCTGTTTCTTCTTCCTATATGTGTATGTACTATCCAAGAAAGTTCAGAAACTATGGGGAGCATAACTAAGCTGCCCTAACCTATAAAAACTTAAGAGGAGCATATTTTCTCAGTATATATTTTTATTGAATTTTTGTGCTTTTCATACCATATATCTTAATCATATTTAGACTCCCTCCCCATGTGTACTTCCCCATAGCTCCTTCCCCATAACCCTACCACCAGATTTCATGCATTCTGTCATACATATTAAGGCCTATCAAGTCAAGTTTGTGTTCCCAGATTTCCCCTGGTATGAGTTCACCCAGTAAAGTCTGGTCAGCCTATCTAGCATCAACTCCTTTAAAGAAGACCAATTCTACCTCACTCAGCAGTGGTCAGCTGTTTCTCAGCTGAGGCAGGGGCTTCTTGCCCATTTCTCCAGTTCTATGCTGGGTTTTTGTCTGGTTTGAATTTGCATGGGTCTTGGGCATGCCATCACTGTTGTTGTAAGTTCATATGAGCAAGTTCCCAGAAGTGTGGAAAACCATCCACCCCCCAACTCTTACAATCTTTCTGCCCCCTCTTCCTCATGGCCCCTGAGCCCTGGATGGGTAAGGTTTAATATAGAGTTCTAACCAAGGACACACACTCTGTGGTCTCTTATTCTCTACATTCTGGCCAGTTGTGGCCTTCTGTGTTAATCAGCCTCTGTTGTATGAGGAAATTTGCTGGTGAGAGTTGAGAGATGTATTAACAGTTTCCCTCCCTATTCCACTGTGTTCTGTGAGCTTTAGATATAGAGGTTCCATTGTAGATGTATTCCTTAGGACTGGACATCTCACAGACACTTATTCTCTGTGTTTGACCAGTTGTGGAACTCTGTAATGGTTCCATGTGTTGCAAAAAGAAGCTTCTTTGATGAGTGGTGACTGGCATACTTGTTTATAAATATAAGGATATATATTTAGCATACATTAAGAAATTACATTTCTCTGAGATCTGACAGATTTAGGGTTTTCTTTAGAATCTGTGACCTCTCCAACCACATGGATTTGGCTATGTTTACAGTACTACATAAGTTCCGTCCCATTGACTGGGCTTTAAGTTCAATTAGATAGCTGTTGATTACCCCCAACATAAAAGTGCCCATACTACACTGGTAGAGTTATTTTGCTGTGCCAGTCTTTGTTGTGGATATTAGTCTTTAAAGCTGGGGTTGGACCACTGATTTTCTCCTTTACCAGATTGCATAATATACTCTGAAACTATGAGAGCTAGTCTTCAGGGGGGAGGCTCCCAGGTCAGTTCCAGCTCCATTGTTCCAAGTCTTGTGTCTGAAGTGTGGCCTGTCTTCAGCAGTAGGGTCTTACCTTCATGTTCTGAGAGGCAATCAAGGACTGTGGCAACAGCCTGTGTTATTTTGGGAGTCTCTTGGACTACTCAGGCCAACAACTTGAAGGGAGGTTTTTCCTGTCTGGCACTGTGTTTCTTGTTATATAGCCTTCAGCTGTACACACTTGCACTCATGTTCAGATACTTGTCTGTGTATTTTTAGTAGACTTCTGAACTAATACATTTCCCTCTGGTTTTTCACACCACCTAAGCATTATTTATCTCACTTCTCTCTGTGTCCCTGTCTAACGCTCCCTCCTCCCTCCCCAGTTAAAGTACCTCCATTTTCCCTGTTTCCCCCTTGATAATACCACCTCCTATTATTACACCACTCTTGAGCTCCTTCTTCCCCTTTATCCCATGGTTCCTTGTATAACTTTCCCTTCTTCCCAGTTAAATACTCCCATGTCCCCATCACTCCCTTGGTAACACTTGTCTCCTACTGTCCCCCTCTCTCAAGATCTTTCTTTCCTTTTAAAGAGAAGCATATTTTTATCTTTTTGTATGTGTAATATATATGTATGCATGCACACATGCATGTTTGTGTATGAGTATTGGAGCACATGTTTAGAGATCAAAGGACAACCT